CCCTGGTTTCTTTGTTTATTCCTCCTGGTTAACTTTGTGAGGTCATTATATCACTTGTTTTGCAGTTAAACTTGAATGTTAAGGGGTTTGTTAGCGTATTTACAGTGAGTGAATAGGAGGCCAGCATCAAACCCAAAGCTTATCGCCATAGTTCTAAAAGTAGTTAATTGAACATTTAAAAAATATGTAGTCAGACCAGTGTTGAAGGTAATATAGCACAATCAGTATGTTATATAAAGTATATAATTAAGAAAATAATTGCCTGCTGCTTTGAAATTCTGTGCCCAATAGAACGTTTACTCAGACCATATATATGATCCTAATAACTAGCATTTGTAAAACCTTTGCAGTTTGTAAAGCCCACGATATCTGTTGCATTTCACATTTTATCTTCACTTTAACTTTGTGTATTTGATAAATGATGGCAGATAGGGGAGAGCTAGGTACAGAATGATTATTACATATGAAAAGATCAAACTGTCAGCCATAGGAGCCCAAGCTAAAATTGCTTTGCTGAGTCTGTGAGATAATTAATTGTAGGGTGACCGGCTCAACTTGTTTTCCTGGCACTTTCCTGGCTCTCTCACTGAAAATCCCATGTTCTGGGAAACACTGAAGCCCCAGATAAACCAGGATAGTTTGTCTCCTAAGTATCACATTTTGTGATAGGATTGGGCTAGATCTAGGGATGTCAGATGAAATGAAGGATTCTCAATTTAAGTTTTAGACAAATTGTGATTATTTTCCTTGCTTTCCCAATTATTGTATGGGGCATACTTATTCCAGCTTAACTGAGCATCTTGTGTTTTTTCTTAATGTGATAACCCTAGGTAGTAGTAAAGGGGCATCCAGCGTAAAAAAATCTCTTGTTGTTAAGTGCCATCGAGTCGGTTCTGACCCATAGCGACCCTGTATAAGGCTGCCAAGGAGCTGCTGGTGAGCTTAAACTACCAATCTTGCGGTTCAAACGGACATTGTAGTCCAGTGGTCTTTCTGTTTTCTAAGAATCTGGCTCCAACTCTACCTTGAAGTAGAAGCTGGACTAGACGTCTGTAAGTGGTTCATGGGTCCATGCTTCACAAGAAAATTACTCTTTCCATGGTTAAAGGATTGAGTTAAAGTTGTAAGAATACCGTGGATAATTGAATCCTACATAAAGTTAGTTGGCTGTATTTAAACTACTTTTCAGTTTTATATTTGAATATATTAAATGGGAAAGACTTGCTAAGCCAACAAACTAGTCTTCCTCCCTTCCTCCTCTCTTAGAGTCAGAATTTCATCTTCTGAGGTTAAACAGACTTAATACTTTTCTTAAGGAAAAGGCTAATTATTATTTCCTCTTAGAATTTTTTAGTTGTGAATTAAAATTTAGTTTAATCCAGATGGTACTATGACCAAATCTTCTAATATCTTTTTAACTTTCCTGTTCAGGAATTTTGGACTTAAAAAAAATTTTTTTTTTTTTTTTAGTTAAGGAAGTAATTCAGACTTGATGTTGGCAGCGTAGTCTGATATCATTCATTGAGCATTAACAAGAATTGTGGAGGTAAAGTTGATTTAAAAAAAGATGTAAAAAGATTGTTATTCAGTATGGAAATAACATAAAACTTTAGGTATCTGAGGGGATATTCAGAAAGTATGTGGAAAAATGAAATTAAAAAATAATGGAGTTTTTCTGTAAACTTTTAGAAACTCTTCTGAATGTTAATATTTACAAGAATTAAAAACAAAAACTTTGTAAGAATTTAAGTTTTTTAATGCTTTCAGCTTTGGGAAGAGACCTAAACATATTTATTAGAGCCAGGGTCCCACCTGCAACACTTTCCTAATAGGAAAGCATTGTATCTTTATATTGGTTACATTTTCTATTACAACTGTGTTGGACTGGGTCTGGGAGGGAAATTGTTTTCTGTCTTTCTTGACCTTGGTGTCTTTTTTCAAAATAAATAAATGATTGGGAATCACTTATCTGATCTCTTGATTTTTCAGTAGAACATACGTGATTGACTGAATTTTGGGAAAAGGAGAATCTCTAAAACAGTGAAGGGTCCTCTTTCTTTGTTTACTAGCAATAAAACGTTAACTAAAGAGCGTGTGGGTTAGTTGAAAAGTTTGGGCAGGCTTCCACCCCACTAGCTGTATCCCTTTGCTCTGTTTGAGCCTCTCATTGTTTATGTACAGGTTCCATGTGAACACAGTTTAGTGTTTTGTACTTCCATTCTTGATCCACATATTGTCAGTAAACACGGGCAAGCCTTTGTCTAGTATTGTTTGCTGTAAAACCAGGAAAGGTGTGCCATTATAGCTGAATTCTTCAATATAGATTTCACCTTAACACAAAACAAAAATCCTCACAACTGGACCAATAAACAACATCATGAAAAGATTGATTTTGTCAAGGATTTCGTTTTACAATCAACATGTATGGAAGCAACAGTCAAGAAATACCTCATGTTGCAATGGACACATTTTCTGCATAGGACCTTTTTAAAGATGTCACTTTGCTCAAAGTGCACTTGTCCCAACTTATGGTATTTTTAATCACTTCATATATAATACATGTGAATGCTGGAAAGTGAATAAGGAAGACTCAAGAATTGATGCCTTTGAATTACGGTATTTGTGAAGAATATTGAAAATACCATGGACTGCTAGAAGAATGTACAAATCTGCCTTGAAAGTATAGCTATGGTATTTTCAATTGCCTCATATGCATGTGAAAATTGGACAATGAATATGGAAGGCTGTAGAAGAATCGATGCATTTGAATTTTGGTGTTCGAGAAGATTATTAAAAGTACTATGGCCTGCCAGAAGAACAAACAAATCTGTGTTGAAAGAAGAACAGCCAGAATGCTCCTTAGAAGCCAGGATGGCAAGACTTCATTTTTTATACTTTGAACAAGTTATCAGAAGGTACCAGTCCCTGGAGAATGACATCATGCTTGGTAAAGTATAGGGTCAGTGAAAAAGAAGAAGAAGACCCTCAATGAGATGGATTGACCCAGTGGTAGCAGCAGTGAACTCAGATGTCCCAACAATTATGAGGATGGCGCAGAGCCAGGCAGTGTTTGGTTCTGGTGTGCACGGGGTCGCCATGAGTTGGAATCAATTTGACACCACCTAATAAACAATATGGGAGAACATCTTTAAACTTCCTCAGGATTTGAAAAAGATGCTCATTAAAATGGTATAAGGTATAAATTTCCCATGTTATTATAGGAGCTCTGGTGGCACTGTTACGCATTGGGCTGCTGACCACAAGGCCAGCGGTACCACCAGTCACTCTGAAGGAGAAAGATGAGCCTGCCTGCTCTCATGTAAATATTTACAGGGGAGGCCTGGTGCAACGCTGTAGGGTAAACACTGGACATTGCAAGGTCCACTGTTTAAACCCACCAGCTGCTCTCAGAAACCCTATACAGGGCTGCTGAGAGTTGGAACAGACTTGATGGCACGAAAGAACAAGTCACAACCCTATGTGTAGGGTTGCCGTGAGCTGTCAAATTTCTTGTGACATCAAGTCTTATGTCATTTTTTAGATTTAGTGCATAATGGAAGTCTCTTGAGGTCAATGCCTGCATATATAACCTATTTTTAATGATGGCTTAATAGTTTATACAATAGATACATAAGGGCTTTTCCCATTCTTTGATTCACGGGTCTTTAGATCGATTCAGCGGTTTACCAGTGAAACTGCTCCAGTATCTGCCAAGCTTTGTCTCCAGACTGTTTTTGGAATATTCCAACAGTTGCTTTCTGTGACTCTAGTACTGATGCCGTCCTCATGGTCCTCCAGTCGCTTTCCAGTATCATGGCCTCTCTGTCCTTGACCTCTTGCCCTTGATGCTCTTTTTCTATATCTTAGTTGTTGTTCCGTGCCATGGAGTCGGTTCCGACTCACAGCGACCCTGTACAGGGTTTCCTAGGCTGTAAATCTCTACAGGAGCAGAAAGCCTCATCTTTCTCCCGTGGAACAGCTGGTAGTTTTGAACTGCTGACTTGCAGTTCACAACCCAGTTCGTAACCACTACTCTACCAGAGCTCCTTCCAAAGCTTAGTAGAGAGAGGAAAATGCTGCAATCATGCAAAGTAATGTCATTCCCATCACAGTCACTGAAGGACGGGAAATGGTGCATCTTTGGCTGTATGTATTTTTTCCGACTCCATGGCCTTTAACAACTCCCCTTTTGTAGGGGAGTCCTGATGTGCTGCTGCAGGATAATGCACTGGACCACAAGGTCAGTTTGAACAGCAAGGCTGGCGCTCATATCCACCAGCTGCTCCTTAGAAATACTATACAGTGTTACTGCGAGTAGAAACTGACTTGACAACACTTAACAACAGCAACAATTCTTTTTTAGGTGTCTTGGTGTGACACTGTAGTCAGTGGTTCAAACCCCCCAATCACTGCTTGGAAACCTTATACATGGTTGTTATGAATCAGAACCACCTCAAATACACTAAACAACAATTCATTTATAGCTCTGGCTTACCTCTTGCGACTGGAAATGTTTGTGGATACTTGGGGTTAGGTTGTAAAGGCTTTCTGTTTACAGTGTGACAGAAACCAATAATTATTTCGCTCAAAACCTGGCAAAAATGGATCTCTCTGTAATTCCAGATTGGACAGGACATTTCAGGGGGCCAGTATATAGCTGCTGCCCCTTGAAAAATAATCTTCATTTGTCTAATATGGAAAACGTTTCTTTAAAGTTAATTAAAAATGATTTTAAATATCTTTCTGTTTCTTCCTTCTAGATTCTTGCTGAAATCTGTTAATTCTACTTTTTGAGCACCATGAATAACCACGTGTCTTCAAAACCATCCACAATGAAGCTAAAACAGACCATCAACCCTATTCTTTTATATTTCATACATTTTATAATATCACTTTATACCATTTTAACATACATTCCATTTTATTTTCTGTCGGCGTCAAGACAAGGAAAATCAAACCAAATTAAGGCAAAGCCTGTGGATTCAAATCCGGAGTCCGCATACAGATCTGTGAACAGTTTGCATGGTTTGGCTTCAGTGTTATACCCTGGATGTGATACTCTAGATAAAGTGTTTGCGTACGCAAAAAACAAATTTAAGGACAAAAGGCTTTTGGGAACACGTGAAATTTTAAATGAGGAAGATGAAGTACAACCAAATGGAAAAATTTTTAAAAAGGTAAGTTGATTTTTGATTGCCTTTAAATTTCCTCTGAATAAAACATACTCAAAACAGTGAGGAGGGAGGGACAAACACAGTCGGGAGCTTCTGGAATTTGCTGTTGTTACAGGAGAAGCAACAGAGAGAGGAGACTAGACTGCCTTGTTTTGAATTTTCAGAAAAATGTTGCGAAGGACCCCCACTGGTGCTGCACACTTAGGAACCTGGGTGCCTCCAGGACTGGGCAGTACGAAGCCATAGTCTCTGGTGGTTCCAAAACACCTGTGTGCTTGAGATGCTCGTGGCTTTGTGATGCTGTCTCTCGTGCCTATTGTCTTAGTACCATGACAATTGCATAGTTTTCAAAAATGGCTTTCTGCATGTTAGAAGAACCAACCATTGGTCATTTGAAACTGGAGGTGAAGAAATCTCTTTGAGATAGGATCCTCTAGTGACTAAGAACCTGAACTGGAGACCCAGGCTTAGTCACATTAATTAACTGTGCACCTTTGGAAAAGTTGATGAAGAAGTATGCCTTCGTTTCTTTATAATATGGAGTTTGACATTTATTAACATTATTATGAGCCAGGCTGCTTTTAAAGAGCTTTGCACATACTAACTTACATAGTGAAGGAGCTTTGGTGGTGCAGTAGCTAAGGAAACTCAGCTAGTCTGTGTTTTGAAGCCACCAGCTGCTCTCCAGAAGAATGATGTGGCAGTCTGATTCTGTAAAAATTATGCCCTTAGAAAGCTTATGGGCCAGTTTACCTTGTCCTACAGGGTCACTGCGAGTTGGAATTGATCTTGACTACAATGAATTAAGATTTATAATCTCCTAATGAGCATAGAAATGCATAGGATTATTGCATTATGGATGACAGCATTAACAGGTCAGTTAGGTCTTGGAGGCATGACAATGAGACGGTTCTAAAGGTGGGACTGGAATCCAGACATGTTGGCTCCAGAGCCCATACTTCTAAAGGAGTCGGAGTGCAGAGGGTTTTATGAGGCATAATTGAATGTGTGTGTGTGTGTAATCTACTTATATAATATAATGTGCCCACAACAATTGTTAGTATGTTGTGTAAATGCTCTAGCTTTTTTTTTTTTATCAAAAAAGGAAAGCTACTTAATTCATTATGTGTTTTCTTTTTCTTTAGTTACCTTATAAATTGTTATTATGAGACACTGTCACAGCTACACATGTTTCTTTATTTGCCTAGCTGCATCTAACCTCTTCCCACTACCTTATGTGTGTGTGTGTATATATATATATATATACTTTTTAAACTTAATTTTGAAATTCTTGGTTGTGAATTGTGTGAAGGTTTACTGAGTAGACAATCAGTTTAAGTCATTAGCTAACACTTGGTTTTAGCTCAGTGACTGAAATCCCCTCCACGAAACTGCAGTCACCTCACTCCCTGTGATTCTTATTTTCATTCCACCTGCCTTCCCAGGCCTTCTGACCTTTGTGTTTCGGTGAATGTTTTGCTTTTGATCTTGAATGGTTGACCATTCCATGGTGAGCACAGCTTCCTGGTGCTGTTCTTCTCGATATACTTAGTTATCGTTTGGCTGAAAACTGGGGGACCTTGAAGGGTGAGTTCTGTTACAGACCTGAAGGGTGGATGAGGCCCATAGTAGGGTTCTCCCAATCTGTTTCTGACCGTTAAGTGTAATCTTTTTAGAAATTTGAGTTTTGCTCCACGTTTTCTATCTGGGACCTTTTAAGATGATCCCTTTCAGAGCATTTGCTAATGGTAGCTGGGCACATCTAGTTCTTCTGGTCTTTCACCATGAAGAGGGATGCTCGTGTGTTCCATTCGTCTATTTAGACTAACTGGTCCCAGTTATCGTCTATTTCCATCTCTCTTTCTTCTGAAAATGGGGAGGCCCAGTAGTTAAACCTTAGATGGCTGGTCATGAGCTTTTAAGATACCAGTGTTGTTAAGTTCTGTCGTCTTGGTTCTGACTCATAGCAACCCTGTATAAGGGTTTCCATGAAACAGCTGGTAGGTTTGAACAGCTGACCTTGTGGTTTGCTGTCCATTGCTGATTGACCCTACTGCCACACTGGAAGGAGGAGGGGGTAGAAAGAACATTGCTTTTATGGATTATGTTGGTACATAGCTTTCTTACAAGCATTTCTTGAAGATACATAAGGTGAAAATTGAAAATGAGTCTGTGTAAAGGAGGTAAGATTATCTCGTTGGCTGGAAATTTGGTTAGTTTATAAGCTTTGTGACTGCGCAGACCAGGTGGCTCTCACTGTCCTTTCCCGTGTCCATCATGAGGGAACTCACAGATCTTGCCGGGTAAACCACTCACAACTCTGGAATGGAAACTCGGAGCTCCTCAGAGTTTGTTACTTGGGGGCCAGTTGTTGTTGTTGTTGTGAAGTGCCGTCGAGTCGGTTCCGACCCATAGCGACCCTGTGCAGGGTTTCCAAGGGTGTAAATCTTTATGGGAGTAGAAAGCCTCATCTTTCTCCCACGGAGCGGCTGGTAGTTTCGAACTGCTGACCTTAAGGTTCGCAGCCCGATTCGTAACCACTATGCTACCAGGGGGCCAGTTACTGAGCCTTTTTAATGATCCTTTAATCTTGCTACTTACATACAAATATCATAACCCATTTTCCTCTAAACAGAGTGGAGATGGCAAACAAGTTAATGGAACTGAGTCCAGGAAACTGCAAGTATTGTTTTGACAGAATCTGTAAGCATTTCTTAAATTAATAAGCAGGATCTTATGTCTTATTTTGCCTGGAATAGTCCTGATTTATGCTGTTGTTCTGACACAATTAGTAACAGTACTCCATTACAGATCTCCATTTGGAGAAACTATATATATGCGTATCTTTTATCCCATTATGATTGGAAATCAGTAAGGGAGGGCGGGGCAGATATTTGTAGATACCAAGACTTAGATCCTGAAATAGTACTTAAGGAGAGTAAATGCTATTTCTGGCTTTTCTTATAAGCAGTTCTTGAAGCTCTGGTAGGTACTTTTGCTGACTGTTTTGATTCACTTAAATGAATTTTTTTCTCCTATATTGACTTAACAGCTAGCTAGAGTTAATAGAACTTTTTAAGAAATGGAAGTCATGTAGTTCAGCACATTTGATTATTCTCTAGCCTGCTGTCGTTATTGTGAAGTGCCATAGAGTTGGTTCTGACTCACAGAGACCCTATAGACGGTTTTCAAGTAGCAGCTGGCGCGTTTGAATCACTGCCCTTTTGGTTCGCAGTCCAGTGAGATCCTACAGCGCCACACCAGAAGTGTCTAGTATATAGATAATTTGCCAAACATTTTATCAAAATGAACTTTGCTATTGTCGTAGTGATGCTTTTTAAGGCACACACAATTCTTGAATAGTCTTAATTGTATTTTTAGATCTTCATCTTTCCACTCTTCTGTCTTCTCTTCCTTTCTTAACGTGTCTAAAAGGGATACTTAGGACAAAATCAAATTCTAGGGCTTCCAAAGTTCCCTACATTTGACAGGTAACACCATTAGACTGGAGGACACAGGGAAAAGTGTGTGTGTGTGTGTGTTCATATCCTGATTTGACCATGGTGTCTTTGCATTCATCAACAGTTGAGCAAGTAGGAACATATTGAACCCAAATAGGAAAGTTAAAAAAGGAGGAAAGCTATTTTTACTCCTTTTTTTCTGGCTGTATTTTGTTGCGACATGGTTTTATTTCATCAGGGGGGTGGACTAGGGTGGGGTGAACAGAAGTGTGTGTGTGTTGTTGGTTTTAAGTGCCATCGGTCACTTCTGACTCAAAGTGACCCTGTATGGGGTTTCCAATGAGCGAATGACGGGTTTGAACCACTGACCTTGAGGTTAACAGTCCAGTGCTTATCCTACAGCACCGCCATACTTGCACTTAACAACAACAGTGGTCCTTATTTCATAGAAGGAAGGTGTGATAGATTTCCTAGATTAGAGTACAGTAAACCACCAGAGGAACAAAGTTTGATCAGCCACCAATGACAGTTGTGGTGGTGGTGTGCTGTCGAGTCGGTTCCGACTTACAGCAACCCTGCCTAGAGTTTCCAAGGCTATAAATCTTTACGGGAGCAGAAAACCTCGTCTTTCTCCTGCGGAGACACTGGTAGTTTTGAACTGCTGACCCTGAGGTTAGTAGCCCAACTGGTAACCACTACACTACCAGAGCTCCTTGACAGTTCTGGTAGGCATGGTCTTTCCATTAGCCTCATATGCATGTGAAAAGTGGACAGGGAATAAGGAAGCTGGTAGAAGAATAGATATATTTGAATTTTTGTTTTGGAGAAGAATATTGAAAATACCATGGACTTCCAGAAGTACTAACAAATCTTTCTTGGAAGGTGTACAACCAGAATGCTCCGTAGAAGCCAAGATAGCAAGACTTGATTTCTCATAATTCAAACATGTTATCAGGAGGGAGCAGTCCCTGGAGAAGGATATCATTCTTGGTAAAGTGGAGGGTCGGAGAATGTCAACGTGGCCTGGCAGGAGCACTAGCTCTAACATAATAGTGATTGTCAGGAGGGCGCAGGATCGGGCAGTATTTTGTTCTGTTGTGCACAGGGTTACTGTGAGTCAGAACTGACTCGATGTCACCTATCCCAAACTAACAACAATGGTTTATGAAAAATCAGCATTAAGTAGCTGAGATAATATGTTTTCAAACTTGCTCGAGTCTAGCATTTCTAGAACTGTGAATGCTGGTCTCTTGAAATGAAGAACAATCAACAGTTTCAGTTCCAGGACATGTTTACGATACTAGAACAAAGTTGCAAAGATCAAAATAATTTTACAAAATAACTTAGGAAATGGCACAGGACTGGTTCAAACATTTTGTGAGCTAACCATGGAAAATAATTTTAATGTTGTACATACACACACACACACACTAGAGAGAAGAGAATAAAAGGTATTATGTAAATCTGCATCAGTTTGTTGAAAGAGTTTAATTGGTTTTCCATCAATTCCCAGAGCCTTGTTCTTTGCCAGTGCCTTCAGTG